GCGTCGGCGGGCCCCCCAGCGGAGAGTAGGCATAAATCTCGGGCTGGCTCTCGCGTGCCACCGCTCGCCACCCTTTGTATTTCTCACCCTGGCTGTCGACGTCCAGCCATAGGGTGCGGGCATATTCGCCTGGAGACTCCTGCTTCTGGTCACCAGCCGCCGCTTCGACCGCCTCCCGCGGAAACATCATGGTCCCGAGGACCTTCTGGCCAGCAGCGTCGGCCAGAGCTGCCACGCGGCCCGAGATGAAGTCACCGATGTCGGCACGCTTCCCTCGCTGGGCCCGGGCAGCACCGGAGTCCGAGAGGATGACAACATGGTAACGATGCACCTGGACGCGATCGCCCGCGTGACGATCGACCTCGTCGCCAAGCTTGCGCGCCCCGAACGGTTTGCACAGCACCTGGACCTCATCGGCCTCGAGCGCGTCGTGCACAGGCGGCGCCACGGCCAGCCGCTCCGGGGCACGAGGCCATCGGGCGCAGCGGCTGCCGGTGGGATCGCCTGCTCGCCACCGGGACCGCGAGATGCCGTCGGCTTCCCCCGGCGGCGTACTGTGGCTCCAGCGGCGGGGGGGCCGCGGCGTCCGTGATGAGCCCTTCCGGTTCCGCGCGTCCTGAACCGGCTTCCTGAAGTGGTGCGCGCGCCGAGCGTTTCGCGCCGATCCGCGCACGGGCCCAGCCTGCCAACCTCTCGCCTCGGCCGGCCCGGTGTCCGCGTCTGGCAACTCAGCTCAGGTCCTCCGTCCAGACGTCGCCGCCGGGGGAGGGCTCATACCAGCAGCCTCCGCCCACGGGCCAGACGAGCACCCGTTCGTGGAGGACGTCACCGTCGCTGCACCTCACGATGCAGCGATCTTCCAGCAGCGACCTGCGCAATCACTCCGCCACCGCGTCGCGACGGGGCGGCAGGCGACGGCGAATGGCTGCCGACGCGGCCGCCGATCGTCCGCGTCCGTGGGCGGCGCCCTGACCCCGCCGGCATGTCTCGCAGGCCAGCCACGCCGCCTCGAATTGTTCGAGCGACCAGGCGGGCGGCAGGGAGCCCACGAAGGACGCACGCGCCAAACTGTGCACATGATCACGGCCTCCCGATCCGCGAGACTGGCTGCGTCATACGCGCACCTGCGCGATGCGCACTCTAGACGCCAACGTTTGTTCGACCCTGAGGCCGTATCCCGAGGCGCCCCCGCGCCAGCAGGGGGTGAGGGCGGAGGCGGCAGCGGCGGCGGAGGGGGCGGCACTGGCGCCTGCGCGCGCCCCTCGGGGCACGGCCGCGCGACCTCCAGCAGCAGCACCGCCCAGGCGGGGGCCGCGCCGCCGCCGAAATGCATCCACTGGCGGCCCAGAATCGAGCAACTCTGAGCTTCGTGTTTCGAACCGTATGCAGACGGGGGAAGCTAAATCCTGGGAGCGCTGCGTCTGAATCCAGCGCACAACCATCATCATCATCATCATCATCATCATCATCATCATCATCATCATCATCATCATCATCATCATCATCATCATCATCATCATCATCATCATTATCATCATTATCATCATTATCATCATCATATTCCCCCTCCTCTCCGCTGTACCTTTGAGGCCTGAAGATGGCCCCCAGATGGCCCAGGAGAGCCCCAAGATGAGCCCACGAGGCCCCCAAAACGGACCCGAGAGTGCTCAAGATCGCCCCAAGAGCGCCCCAAGAGGGCCTCAAGAGGGATTCTGAATGCCCCAGAATGGCGGGGAAACGAAAGGGCCCCTCCTTCCGTTGATCGACGGCTTCCAAGATGGCCCCACGAGGCCTCCCAAGATGCCCCTGAGAGAGCCCCAAGAGGGCCCCAAGAGGAGCCCAAGACTGCCCCACGAGCGCCCCCAAGCGCCCCAAGTGCATCCCAAGAGGGCCCCAGGAGGCGGTTTGCCTCCTTGTCCTCCTCTTCCTCCTCCTCCTCGTCTCCTTCTCCTCCTCCTCCGCCTCCTCCTCCTCCTCCACCTCCTCCTCCCCTCGCCCCCGACCCCAAGGTGTTGTCCGTGAGGCGGCGGCGGCCATCGGTCCGTTGAATGTTGGCTCGGAGAAGCGCCACCGACTCGGGACCCTTAGCGGGCCCGTGGGCGATCCTCACGTGCAGGTGTCCCTTCTTCGTGGTCGTGGTTTTGCTCGCGACGCTGCCGAGGTGGCTGGTACTGACTCGGTTGGCTCGGGGAAGTGCCCCGGGCTCGCCCCCAGTAGGGTCACTGCTGTTCCCAGCCAGGCGCTCCCGCAGACGGGGATCGTGCCGCCCGAGGCCGCCAGGGGTCACATCCTGTATAGAGCGGGTGGGGTCATTGGATGCACGCGTTGCGGTTCTTTCTCAGAGAAGGCTGCCAGGTCTCAGCTTTTTTCGCAGTGCGATCCCTCGGCGCTCAAAGACGACCCTCAGCGCAGATGGCGCCGAGATAACTTCGCCTCAGACCGTCACCCGCGCGATGGGAAGCGGCACCCCATCCCCCTGCCCCGTCGTCTGTTGGCTTCAGACCCCGCGGCCGAGTAGTTGTGAAGGGGCCCTGGGACACACAAATAAATACACACAAATAACAGGATTCCCCATATTTTCCCATATTTCCTGTGTCTTTGTCTTCCCCCCCACTTCCCATATTGTCCCACATTTTCCCAGGGATCGACGATTGATTGTGTCTGTGTTTTTTTCCCTCCTGAAGGTGGGGCTCCTCACTTAACCCCAAGGTGGAGTGGGCGCCCCCATTGCCGCCAGCGGCAGGGCTCTGGCGGGCGCAGGGCCGTCGAGGCTCTTTCTCCAAGGCCTCTGTCGTCTGCATCTTCCTGCTCCGCCGGCGGTGCCGGGGTGGCCCCGAGCCCGCCTGTGTCTCCGCCTTGCTCTGTTCCGGCTGAACATAAGGTGAAAACAGACCTACCTCGCTTTTGACCACCCTCGCTTCCAAGAGATACCAAGCGATGCCAAACTACGGCCTCTACTGGTCAGGCCGCTTGACGAGGAGGTGCGTGGTATGACTTGGTTATTTCTGGAAGCGAAAGCGGGGTAGGTAATTCACGCTCTGAGAACAGGCAATCCCGGCAGCTATTTGCAATCACCTGCGCTGCACCTTTCCGCATTTCGCTGCACGCCGCGCGCTGACGCAGCCGCGTGGCCGCGAATCCAAACTTTAACACGTTGTGTTTCTGGCGTGCCGTGCGCTGGCATGTGTCTGGTCGTCAATGTGCGGCACGCGTTGTGCACCAGGCCCTGTCCATCCCTCAGCGCAGATGGCGCCGAGGTAATTCGCCTCAGGCCGTCAATCACGTGCTGGGGGGAGGCACCTCATCCCCTTGCCTCGTGGTTTGTCTTCAGGCTCCGCGGCCGTGTGGTTGGGGCTCCTCGCTTATCCCATGATGAGCTGGCGTCCCCACCGCCGCCAGCGGCAGGACTTTTGGTAGGGCAGGGCCGTTGTGGGGCGTTCAAGCGCCTATGTCGCCTGCCTCTTCCCTTGTTCAGTCGGCATTGCCGGGGTTGCCCCGAGCCCGCCTGTTTCTCCGCATTGATTTGTTCTGCTTGAACAGGCAAGCCCTCCAGATAATTGCAGCATTTGCGCGGCATTGATTTGCATTTAGTTGCACGCCGCCTGCTGATGAGGCAGCGCGGCCTTGAGTCCAACTTTGACTCGTCGTGTTTCAAACATGCCGTGCGTTGTCAGGTGTCTGATCGTCAATGTGCGGCACGCGATGTGCACCAGGCTCTGTCCTTCAGGCCCTGTCTAGCTCCTGGCCAGTCTTTGGGCAGCGAGAAAGAGAGAGAGAGAGAGAGAGAGAGAGAGACAGAGAGAGAGAGCGTGTGCCCTGTCGCCGTCAAGCTTGCTGGGCGTCAGCAGGGTATGCCCTCTTCGTTGTGTGGGCGATTGTGCGTCCTCACCTTTTCCCAATTGTCTTGCCTGCCCCTCCTCTCGACTCGGCGCGCCGCTTCGTGTGCTCGCTGCTCCTCCACTCGCCCCCCAGCGGGCCACCCAAGGCAACCCCCTTGCTCCCAGAGATATCTCTGTTCATTATGGTTACCCGCCATATTTCACTCCATGTGTCTCTTCGTCCATTTTCCCGTCAGCTCTCATGGGCAACGTGTCTGAACGGGCTACTGGGCATACTTTCTGTTCGCGAGCGCAAGCGGAAGAGCCGCGCGCCGTCAGGAAATTGCGCTACTGGGGATATTTTTTTGTTTTACAGCCGCGTGCGGAAGCGCCAGCGGCGGCGAGTAACGGTCGGGCTGCGGCCGAAACTAATTGGCCGGACGCGCGCGCGGGCCGCGGCCGGCGCCGGGGCGGCGGGTGCAAGGGTGCTGCAACCCAGGGTGTCTGACGCCCAGGGACCTGCACCCAGGGAGTCTGTAACTACGCTGCCAAAATGGCGCGATGCAAATAACCCCAAGGTGTCTGAGGCCATGGCCAGACAGTACGCCGCTTGGGTACACTATCTGAACAGTAGGGAGTCTGCAAACCTCGGCGCAGCGAATGGCGTACCATAGGGTCCCAGGGTGTCTGAACCATGCTCAAGCAGAAGCGTCCGAGAGATGCGCAAGCTGTCGCCTGACTGCATGCTACTGGGGATACGCGAAGCGTGATGAATTTCGAGACGAATCCAGCCGTAGCGACGCGGGCCTCCCAGGAGGCCCCGAAGGGCTAAAACGAGGAAGGGGACCGGCATCGGTACCAGAGACGAGGGGAGGTGAAAACGCAGGAAGGGCTGGAACAACGCCGAGAATCCACGAAGGCGTCTGAACACCTCGAGCCTCGAGGCTGTGGATACGGACATGTCTCTGGAGACCTCCCAAATCAGGTCCGAGCAGTTGGGTCGGAGGATCGCGATGCATCGACGTCGGCGATGCATCGCCGGCGGCAACGTGAAGCCAGCAGGGGCCCACACCGAGCCTCCTCGCCGATACATCGGCGATGCATCGGCGACCCGCCGGGCCCATCTACTCGGACCCCAGTTGGGAGGCCAAGCCCACGAGGGGCGCCCGATCCGTCCGCGGCCTTGGGCTGCGAGGGGTGCGCCTGCAGCGCGGCCTCGCACTTGGAGAACCACAGGCTGCTCAGCGCCTCCTCGGCCCGCGGCCGCATGGCGGGGTCGCGGCGGAGCAGCGCCTCGACCAGGGTGCGGGCCACGGGGGAGACCGTGTCGGGCAGCCTGTGAGACAGGCGGCTGCAGTCATCGTGCCACCAGGAGGAAGGCCTCGTGAGGAGTGAAGCGGCTTTTCTGGCCACGGCGGGCCTGGGCCACAAAGAGGTGGCCCCACAAACATAGACCTCAAGAGTGTCCCGAAGACCCGAGCCCCTCCTGAGACCAAAAAGCGGCCCTGGTTGCAGCCGATCCCACTGTACACGCACGATCGGCCCTGGGCAATAGGACAGAGGCGTGCACGTGTGCACAGAGCTGGACTGCTCCGACCTGGGCCCAGGACCGGTGCATCAGGGGCCACTCCCCCTGAGATCTGGCGCTCCCAAAATACACGCACGATCGACGCTGGGTAATAGGACAGAGGCGTGTACATGTGCACAGAGCTGGACTGCTCCGACCTGGGCCCAGGATCGGTGCATCACGGGCCACTCCCCCATGAGAGCTGGCGCTCCCAGAACATTCGAGCGGCGGGGCGTCGGCAGTTCTCTTTTCCTCTGGGGGCCCTCGTCGGGCCTCGGGAGCGTCGAACAACGACTCAGGATTAGGTCGCCTACTACAGGCCGATCTTCGAGGATCATTTATTCTCAAATAAAATATACTCAACAATTTGTCAAACAAATGCTAACACATCATCGCCAGACTATTTGTTCTACAAATTTCCAATATTCCTCCTCTGGAGGGACAGGCCCGACTTAAACTCAGGCCGAACAACCCTCCGGGGCCCACGCGTCAACAAACATTGGAGCAGCCGGGTGCCTGGGTCTGGTGAAGAGCCCCTCTGGCGCGCAGCCGAAGCGCGCCTAGGGGCGGGCCGCCCATGCGACCTGTCAGAGGTTCTACGTGGGGGCACCTGCGCGCAGCCCGCGCCTGGGCACACACAGACGCACAGACACACAGACACACAGACACACACAGACACAGAGACGCACAGGCACAGACACACAGACACACAGACAGACACACAGACACACAGACACACACAGACACAGAGACGCACAGACACACAGACACACAGACACACACACACAGACGCACACACACAGACACACAGACACACACACACAGACACACACAGACACACACACACGCACGCACGCACGCACGCACGCACGCACGCACGCACGCACGCACACACACACACACACACACACACGCACACACGCACACACACAGACACACACACACACACAGACACACACACAGACACACACACACACACACACGCACGCACACACACACACACACACACGCACGCACGCACGCACGCACGCACGCACGCACGCACGCACGCACGCACGCACCCACACACACACACACATGCACACGCACACGCACACGCATACGCACAGGCACGCACGCACGCACGCACGCACGCACGCACGCACACGCACGCACGCGCACGCACACGCACACACACAGACACACACACACAAACGCACACACACAACACACACACAACACACACAACACACACACACACAACACACCACACACCACACACCACACACACAACACACACACACACACCCCACGAGCCTGGCGGTGCAGGCAGGGCGGGCAGGGCAGCACCGACGCGCGCACACGCGGGCGAGCAAAGGCATACGGTCGGGGACTCTGGGATACAGCGAGTCGCGGCGGCGGCCCCGGCGACACGCTGTGCCTTGCGGTCGCTGTCGTTCCGCTCCGCGGGCGGAAGGCTCGGCGAGGCTCGGAACTCTGAAGCCTGGGGACGGGGAAACAGATAGCGTGGCGTGCCAAAGAATGGTGGGCCATGACTGGAGGAGCGACACGCTATCCAAAAGTTCCCAGCCGTACGGTGAGGGAACTACATACGGAATCGTTGTAAAACAAAGTCAGGGTCGGGAAGCCAGTGGAACTCCAACTGAGGCTTGGCCGTGGATGTCACCGCCGCCCGAAGAAACGATCCAGGGTCTGAGGCCTCCTGGGCGCAATCCTTAACAAACGCCCCCGCCATGTGTACAGGCACGCCCTCCGGGGTCCCGCGTGCACGAGCGACCACGCTCAAGCGCAAGCCAGCAGAAACCGACCACGTACGTGCACGTATGATGTTGGCCTCCGAACATCGGGCGCCCGCGAGCCTCGCCACCGCGTGGTCTTCGCCAGACGGGGGCAAGGTGCCAGATAGTAGCAAGTGCAAGATGCTCCTCGGGCAGGACGCGGCCTAACCGACCCCTTCCGTGTCCAGCACCACCTTCCGTGACGTCATCCCCGCCGTCCAGAGCTTCCCTCCGGCCGCATACAGACGTCTCGGGGTGAGGCGAGGGGGACGCCACGGAAGTCGCTGGTTTGCTACGGGCAGGCTGGAAACAGTAAGGGCTGGAATCGCTGCGGACAGATTGGTTAGAGTAGGGGAAATCGCGCTCGCGTGGGCCTGCAAACAAAAATAGCACAAGGGGGGACCATGCCCCGCGTCCACAACACACACACAAACCTCATGGCAACCCCAAAATCTCGCATACGCTTTCTCAAGCTTGGGGCGGCCCGACGAAAGAAACCCTGCCGGAAGCCCTAAACTTGCAATATAACCGAGCCTGGCACGCACATGTGGCGAGTTCCGGAAGTCCTGAGCCAAAAGCCTTGCCATCTCTTGGGAGGCCCACCTTTACTTCCGCGGGCTTCCGCTGGCATTCCGCCAGTTGTGTGTCGGCGCGCGCAAGGGGATAGGGGGAGAGGGGAAGGCGTCTTAGAAGGAGGCTGCTTCTTAGAAGGCGCCGGCCTCGCGTCTATAGACGAGGCCCGCGCTTCTGAGAAGCAGGGGTGCTTCTAAGGAGCCTTCCCCCCTCCCCCTACCCCCTCTGCGCGTGGCCGAGGCCTCCGCCAGCGGAGCCGCCCCCGTTTCTACGTCCGCCGGCTTTCGCCGGCAATCCGTCAGGGAAGGGATGCCAACACCTTCGAGACCCCTCGAAGACGAGGCCCCTTCACCGGAGCGCCCGCAGAAGCGCTTCCAGCCTCCCCGCAGGTGGGGGAATGACCGAAAGGTACCGATACCGCTACTCCTTGGACCTCTCCTAGAGGCCTCCTAGATGGGGTCGGAGTATATGGGGTCGGAGGATCGCGCCGCATCGGCGATGCATCGGCGACGTCGGCGTGGAGAAAATCAAGCTCCGCATCGAGCCGCATCGCCGATGCATCGGCGATGCGGCGCGATCCTCTGGCCCCATCTACTCGGACCTCATCTAGGAAGGCTAGATTTCCGGGGCCACGAGGGCCTCCCAGGAGGCCCAAGAAGGGGACAACGAGGGAAGGGTAGCCCCTGAGATCCGACGTTGCAAAAACTTGCAGCATCGCTAGAAATCACGACCGGAACCCTGGACCCCATCTCCATGCTTCATTTTTCGAGCTGGATCGATCCGTGAGGACCCCGGGGCCCGAAGCTGAGCGAAGACGCCCGCTGGGACAACTTGCAGCGTCAGGATCTCAGGGGCGGTGCCAACACCACCCTTCTCATCCTCCCCGCAGGGGTCGGCGAGGCCACCCCCGAGCTCCCTGCGGACCACATGTCGGCGGCCTCCAGCAGCTCAAACGCGGCCCCGCCGCGGGGGTCCGGCGAGCGCGACCGCGCGGCGTCCGTCGCGCAGGCGGATGTCCGCCTGCTGCGCCCGCTGGAAGCCTTGCTGCGGGGGACGGAGGGGGGCCGATCGAGGAGTCTGGGAGTGGAAGTGGGATCTGGAGGTGGCTGCGTCCCCGAGCGGGGCCCGCGAGGGGCTCAGCTCGGTGCATGCCGCCTCTCACTGCCTGAGGAGCCACGTGGCGAAGCCGTCGATTCTCTGGATGCCCACCAGTCCCGGCCCAGGGCCTGCTCTGTCTAGGGCCTGTCTTTCGAAGAAGGAAAACGCCATAAACATAAACTTTTGGCGCTCCGCGCGGATTTCTGGGATCCGCGCTTGGCCCCCCAGCAGCGCCTCCGGCGCCGCCCTTGGCGCGCTCCACGCGCCAGGGAGGCGGGTCCGGCGCAGATACAAGAAATTCGCGCGCAGTGCCAAAAGTTTATGTGTAAGCGTTTCTTCCTTCCTCTAGCTCTGTGCCGGGGTTGATCGAGTAGCCTGAAGCCTCCCAGAGGGGTCGGAGGATCGCGCCGCATCGGCGATGCATCGGCGATGCGTCGACGACGCTGGCATGGAGAAGGTCGGGCTCCACCTCGAACCGCATCGCCGAAGCATCGGCGATACGGCGATGGGGTCTAGAGTTGGAAAGTCCAGGTACGTATCGTCCCGACACTTCAACGTGCATTTTTGGTACTGCGGGGCTCGTTCAACCTTGAAAGATCGGCCGATTCCGAAACGTCAGATCATTCAACATCGACCGATTCTGGGTCGCCAGGGGCGTTCAGAGGTGAACGCCGGCGGCCGGGTCGCCGCCGGCTAGAGTTGGAAAGTGGAGGGTTCGTTGGGGACTTGTCCCCCCCCGTCCAAAAAACCTAGCCGATACCATCCGAAAACCCTCCCCGAGAAGGGTTCTGGGAGGCTTTTCGGAGGAATCCAAAACGGTTTCAAGAGGGTTTGGACGTTTTGCTGAGCACCCAGTTCGTAGCAAAATCTTTGGGTCGGAGGATCGCGCCGCATCGGCGATCTGGCTCGATGTGGAGTCTGATTTTCTCCACGCCGACGGCGCCGGTGCATCGCCGAAGTCACCATCGCATCGGCGAAGCATCGGCGATGGGTTGACGATGATGACATCAGATCGACGGCAATGCAGGTGAACAATCGGAATCGAGAGACTCCATAGGGATCTCTGAGGGCCAGCGGGTCTGGAGGATGCACCGGGCGCCGTGGCCGTTTCAGAGCGCTCCACAAGCGTTCTGAGAGCGCTTCGGAACCCTCCACTGGAACGAGCTGCGTCCTCCTCCCGGGTCTGTCTGAGGCCGAATCGCACCGAAGCGAGCGACTCATGGCGGCCCCGAGGCTCGAAGCGTGCCTCCAGAGGCAAGCAACTGGCGACAAACCTCCTCCTCCTCCTCCTCCTCCTCCTCCTCCTCCTCCTCCTCCTCCTCCTCCTCCTCCTCCTCCTCCTCCTCCTCCTCCTCCTCCTCCTCCTCCTCCTCCTCCTCCTCCTCCTCCTCCTCCTCCGCCTCCCTCCTCCCTCCTCCTCCTCCTGCTCCTCCTCCTCCTCCTCCTCTCCTCCTCCTCCTCCTCCTCCCCCCTCCTCCTCCTCCTCCTCCTTCTCCTCCTCCTCCTCCTCCTCCTCCTCCTCCTCCTCCTGCTCCTCCTCCTCCTCCTCCGCCCCCCTCCTCCTCCTCCTCCTCCTCCTCCTCCTCCTCCTCCTCCTCCTCCTCCTCCTCCACCTCTGGCCGTTTCCGATCTCTTCGAGGCGCCGGATGTCTGGGACTAGACCGCGCCAGGGCCGATCTTCCAGCGGCTCGAGCTGGAGGACTCCAGACTGGGGTCCGAGGAGGCGAAGTCGTAGGATCACGCCGCATCGCCGATGCATTGCCGACGTCGGCGTGGAGAAAATCGGGCCCCACGGCCATCTGCATCACCGATGCACCGGCGATGCGGCGCGATCCTCCGATCGCATCTGCGGCAAGATCGTGTCGTGACGATCACTGCGTTGGCTTCTGACACCGCGTGGATCATTGAACCTTGACCATTCGGCGGCATTTCGATCGCCACACCGTTCCATATTCGCTGATGCTGGGCCACTGGCGGCGTCCGCCTGGAACGCCCGTGGGAGGGGTCGCCGCCGCGTCGGCACGACACGAACCCTGCCGCACTCGGACCCCGCTGGGGAGGCCTGGAGGTCGGGAGCGGCGAACCTATCCGCATCCGCGCGCTCGCGGTCTTTGATTCCAGGGCGCGATCCCGCGGATACGCGGTCGCACGGATACGTTCCGCGCAGGGCAGCCGCGAAAGAGCGCCCGCATTCGCGGGGTCGCGGTTCAGGGGGATCGGCACGCGAGGCCGCGGATACAGATAGGGATATGGTACACGATAAACCCATCGCAAGAAACCCAACACCCCGAAGATAGCCGAAGCTTCTTGGGCCAGGGTTGGGTTTCTTGCTGAGCGGCTGCCAGCGAAGAACTCAGGGTATTCTGGGCAAGGCGGCTTGTTCATGGCTCGCGCAAAGCGTGACAGCGACAAGACAGTCAGGGTACCCTGCCAGCTTCGGTTTCTTCGCCACCGCTGCAAACCTTCAACCCGCACGCAAACCGAAGAAGCCCAGGGCACCCTGGCAAACCGTGCGGTGCCACGTGTCGCCATCGCTCGGACGCGCCTCCCCCGTGCACTTGTTTCGATGTCGCGAGCGCGCACCTGTCGCAAGATGATTCAGGATGCTCCTCGAGGGTCCTCGCCATGAAGCAACGCACACGGGATGCCACCCCCTCCCCGGAGAGAAGGGCGGCCGCTCTCGGGCCAGACCGCGACGCAGGAGGTGCGCCTCTCTCTCTCTCTCTCTCTCCGCGCCTCCGAGGGCGGCCAGTTCTGCAGGCCTGCAGTCGGGCTGCTGGCATACACCAGGAGCTCGACCACAAGAATCGGTAGCGGCCAAGAGGGGGGTGTCCAAGAGAGGGGGGGGGTGCAAATCATGACCGGCGGCATGGCATGTGCGCGGCCCAGCGGGGGGCCCAGGGACGTAACGAAATAAGAAGAGGCGCCATGACATCTGGGGAAATATCATGGCCCACGCCATGATATCCCGCCCCCTAGTCATCACCCCCCTCTTTGCCGCCCCTGACTTCCACACGCAACCCAACCCTGAGACCCCGGGACCTTGATTCGTGGTGTGGGAGCGTCACGTTTTCCACAGCAGCTCCATCGAAGCCCACGACGATCGGGTCGGACGAAAGGGGGGGATAGCAAAGGGAGGGGGTTGAGAATCAGCTGACGTAGCTGGGTTTCCCGGCGCCTCCCGGCGCCGGAGGCGGTCTTGTATCGAGGAATGGGCCCCTCGGTCAGGCCGAAACCAGCTGCCTGCAGCAGATTTCGTACCCCCCCCCTTCCCCAATCCCCCCGGGCCCTTTCGTCCGGCCCGAGCTTCGTGCTGTGGGAGCGTCGCGTTTTCCACAGCAGCTCCACCGAAGCCCACGACGAGAGGAGCGGAGCGCGCCTGCGACAGCGTGGAGCCGCACCTGGACGGGGTGCGAGCGGGCGGCGAGGCGCGCCGGGTGCGCCCGGCGCCGCGCGCCCCCAGGCCTGTGGGCGGGGGGGGCAGGAACAGCGAGGGCCACGACCAGGTGGGGCACCGCGCGGCGGCGAGCGAGGGGGGGGGGCAGTCTCGGGGCTCGAGCTTCGAGGTGCGAGGCTTGCAGGCGGCTTCGTGGGCTCTCGGCGGTTTTCCAGCCCTGGGATGCTGGCCAGCAGCTGCGCCTCGCCGAGGGCGTTCCCGGGGCGCCCGGATCGTCCCGAACGGCCGCCGGAGACCCGAGTTATGAGCCAAAAACCATATTCGGCGGCGCGCCCACGGGGGGAAGTGAGCAGGAGAAGGCCTGCTCAGAAGACAGCGGGACTTCCCAGAAGCCCTCACGCCTTCTGAAGGTTTCCCGTGTCTCGTCTTAGAGAGAACTTCTCCGAAGGCGGGGGACTTCCGAGCCTTCTGTTAGGTCGGGCGTGTCCCCCTACAGGGGGATTTTGGGCGAGAAAGTAAAACTTCACAAAACATACTCCAGAATGGTCAAAATATTTAAACAATAGTCCCCAGACTATTGTTTGACTATTTTTGAACATTCCTCCTGTAGAGGGACAGGCCCGACTTCAGCTTAGAGAGAACTTCTCCGAAGGCCGGGGGGCTTCCGAGCCTTCATGGGGAAGGCCCGCCCCTTCTCACTTCCCCCGAGGCTCGCCACCGAGATTGGGGGCGAAGACACGTGCAGATTCCCAGGGTGCCACGGGACCCCCCCCCCTCCCTCCCCCCGGACTGGAAGGGGGGCGACGACGATGACAAAGACAACGACAACGACGACGACGACGCCGACGCCGACGCCAACGCCGACGCCGACGCCGACGTCGACGCCGACGCCGAAGTCGACGTGGACGGAAGACGACGCCGACGCCGACGCCGACGACGACGCAGACGCGACGGAAGATGACGGTAGTACGAGGGGGGAGCGATCCCATTTGCGAAGCATTCGCGAGGCTCACGGGCGTACCCATCCAGCGGGGGTGAGGGGGATTCGATCCCATATGCATTGGGAGGGGCAATCCGGGATCATTTATCGCCCCCGCATTCCGCAACGCCCGACCAAGACGGAGCGCGGAGACGTCCGTGCCAGTGTTGGTCGCCGCCCATCTTCCCAGATCTCCGACCGGACAGTTGTTCCAATCCGGGCGAAGCTCCTCGACTTGGGCCCCCGAGGGCTCTAATTTTTTTGCCGGCCCCCGGACCATCCGACATGGACCCAGGACGCAAAACTGCCCCATGGGGGGAGGCGTCGGAGCCCTGGAGACCGCGGCTGGACAAGATCATCTCGGCGGATGTCTCGGCTACGCTACACGCTGTTCATTTCTAATCGTGCTCATCTCTAATTGTGCTCGTTTCTCATTGTTCCTGACCCCCTAGTGGCCAGGAAGAGGCCCTGGAGCGAACAAGTAGAACTGAAAGGATCGTGCCCCCCCAGAAAAATTTAAGAGCTTTCGAAGGGTCAGACATGAACCAGGTCTACACGTGAGAGCGGCCACAGGCGAGAGTCGACCCATGGTGCGCGCATCTCTGAAGGGGCCCCAGGACACACAAATAAATACACACAAATAAAAAGATTCCCCATATTTTCTTATATTATCTAGGTTTTTGTCTCCCCCCCCACTTCCCATATTTTCCCATATTTTCTGGGGGACCGACGATTAATTGTGCCTGTGTGTTTTTTCCTCTCCTGAATCTCGGAGGCCGCGGAAGGGCCGCAGCCAGGCGGGCGAGCCGCCCCTGGCAGCTGCTCGGGGGGCCCCGTGGGCCGCCGCCGACCCGTGGAGCCGCCCGTGCGGGGCTGCCACGGCCGGGGCCAAGGCTTCGGCGTCGACGAGGCCCCCGGCGAGACATCTTGGCCGTGGCCGTGGTGCTCCTGCCATATCGGTGCTCGCCCCCCTGGTCGGTTCCAGCGGCGTCGCGGCTGCACGACAGGGTCGCGTCGTGACGACCACGGCGTTTTTTTTTGTTCCCCGACGCTGCGTGGAGCGTGCAGCCTGGAGCGCTCGGCGGCGTTCCAGTAATTAGCCAGATGCTTCCAGATTCGCTGGCTCGACCCGGAGCGCCCGCGACATCGTGGTCGTGGCCGTCGTGCTTCTTCCAACTGTGCGCACGTACCGATCCCGGCCAGGCGGATCCTGGACCCACGATCGTTGCACACGCCCCCCTCGCCGGGTCAGGAAGGCGTGCACCCCCCCCCTCCTCCTGCTCCTCCTCCCTCCTCCTCCTCCTCTTCCTCCTCCTCCTCCTCCTCCTCCTTCCTCCTCCTTCCTCCTCCTCCTCCTCCTCCTCCTCCTCCATTCCTTCTCCTCCTCCATTCTTTCTCCTTGTAGATAACTCCTCCCTGTCGCACCCCGAGGCCAGTTTTTAGGGCGGGCCGGGCGTATTGCCTGAGACTTCCTCACCACTTATGACCCTGAAGCTTAAAAAGTGGCAGCAGCTTCACAGATGGAGGGCGGGTCGCTTTCAACATGTGGCTCTCGCAATTAGCGCCGCGCACATTCGTTATAACAGATTGCAAAGAGTTTCACGGATTGAGGGCGGGTGGTTTTCAAAATGTGGCTTTCGCCTTGGCGCCGCGCACATTCGTCTTACAAAAATTGCAGAAGGAGCTTCGCGGATTGAGGGCGTGTCGTTTTCAACATGTGGCTCTCGCCTTCGATCCGTGCACATTCGTTATAAACATTTGCAAGGAGCTTCACGGATTGAGGGCGGGTCGTTTTCAACATGTGGCTCTCGCCTGTCGTTCTTACAAATTGTAAAGAACTTCGCGGATTGAGGGCGGGTGGTTTTCAAACTGTGGTTTTCGCCTTAGCGCAGCGCACATTCGTCTTAAAGAGCTTCACGGATTGAGGGCGGCTCCTTTTCAAAATGCGTCTCTCGTCTTAGCGCCGCGCGCATTCTTTCTTTTAAAGTCGCAGGAGTTTCACGGATTCCCATGATCAGCGCACCAGAACTTGTGTTTTGCAAGGGTTCAGGATTATGCGGGCGCAACAGATTCGCTGTGTTGAAAAATCCTAAAAAAACGGCGTTCTGGCACGATTCTGGATCGTCAAGACGCAGCAGTCAGGTTGATACGTGGCGTTGAAATGCCGAGAACAACGTTTTGGCACGCTTCAGGATCTTCAAACTGTTGTCTTCCAACGAGGCAGTTCCCTCAATGGGAATTAACCATTGTAGGGGCCTACAAAGAGGGAGCTTGGAGGGAGGGTTAATTCCAATATCGCTGATGACTCTTGCGTTTCCACTGGTCCTCCTCCTCCTCCTCCTCGTCCTCCTCTTCCACCGATCCTTGACCCAGCCTGGGCCAGACCAGGATCGGTGGCTGTGTGCAGCCCCAGACAGTCGCCGACCAAATGCTTTTAGTCCGCGGCCCCATAAATCCCGACCCCTCCCCATGGGGCAGTTTTGCGCCCCGGATCCGCTTGTGATGGTCCCCAAGCCCGAGAAACGACCCTCAAAGGCTGAAGCGAAAGAAGAACACCGCGACTGATGTCTCGACCCATTCCGGGGGACCAGTGTTTCATCCCGAGTATTCTCGTTTGCGGTCCCAGGGCCACGCCCCTGCCCTTGGAGGCAGGGGGTAATAGAAAAACATCCGTCCGTGATTTTTGTCACAACGTGGGGGGGTCTTGGCGCCCTCCAGGCTGCGTTCTGACCAAGATTGCAAGACGACTCCAGCAATGGCGACGAGGGCCTCCTGGAAGGCCCACAAGGGCGAAGGTGTGGGAAAGGAGACTGGTATCGACACCCCCTCTCTGAGGACGAAGGGCAACGATAGGGGGGCACCTGCCCAGGGGGGAACATCGTCGGAGGTTTTGGACGCCCGAAATGGATGCGAAGAACATTCGTACCGTGAATGCTGTCCAGCACCAACAGCGGCGCTGTTGGGCAGGCTGCCCTCTGCCTCAGACGGAACACGACCGCGGCGACGCCGACCACGAACAAGCACTGCTGCTGGACTCTGCGCCCCTTGTCTCCGTGTCTCCGCACCCACCTCGGTTGCCCCGAGAGGTCATGGCCAACCCGCTTCCTCCCTCGAGGGCCCACAGACTCCAGGAGCCCCGCGTAGCCGCGGGCGCCCGCCAGCCCGGCGAGCTCCGGCGGGGCGCAGGCGAGCCCCGCGGAGGCGCGTGCGCCGACGAGCGGCAGCAGCGGGATCTGCTCGCCGTCCGCCTGCGGGGTCGTTCGGTCCCGGCTCGGGGCTCGGGAGCTCAGCTCCCGGACGCCTGCTCGCCGCGCCGCCCGTCCTCGACGCGCCCAAAGGCGGGCGGCGCCGACACCGCGGAGAACCCACGGCAAGCCCTGCGCCCAGCGCCCGAGGAGGCGCAGCCATCGCCGCGGCAAGCGGCAACCCCCGGCAGGCCCAGTGGTCCGAGGCGGAGTCTGCCCTGGTGGCCGCGGCGGCCCCCCCCCCCAGGCGGCAAGGAGCGCGCCACGGCGCGGCGACACATGCTCGCGTCGTGACCATCACCGTCAACAGCACGCCAGGAAAACGCCCAGTTCACACCGGGCGGTCTCGCCCAGTCTCGGGCACTGGGGCCAGCACAGGTCGATCCTACGCGGCTCAAACATACACACCACCACCACCACCACCACCAGCACCACCACCACCACCAGCACCAGCACCAGCACCAGCACCAGCACCAGCACCAGCACCAGCACCAGCACCAGCACCAGCACCAGCACCACCGCCTCCCTCCCCCCGCCTGCCAGGAAAGAAGAGAGGATGAGGAGGTAGAGGAGGGAGGAGGAGTGGAGGTGGTGGTGGTGGTGGTGGCGTAGACTCCTGGTGCGCGCAGATTCAGCTCGAAAAGCGCGGGACATCTGGTCGAATCGGAGTGTGCGTCAGATCGGGCTGCACTGCACCGGCGCCGAGCCGGACTTCCATCTTGTCGGCCGCTCCAGGATGCTCAACGCAGAGCCGTGCAAGCCTCGGGCCGCATCGGCATTGTCGTGGCATCAGGACCGAATCGGATAGGGCCGGCCAAGTCGGGTCGATCGGATCGAAGTGTTCCCTGGCCTGCGGCATGCTCAGGAGGTCCGCGGCCTTCATCGACAGGCCGAAGTCGAGGAGCTTGAGCCCGTCGTGGTAGCAGCTCCGCTGGGCCTGCGCCTGTGAGCTCCTCTTGGCGCACGCCGCGTAGGCGTACCTCGCGAGGAGCCATGGCCCAAGATACAGAAGGACTGCTGAAAGAAGGAAGGCGAAATAAGGGCTGAAGCCCACTTTTGGCGCCAGCAACGCCTGGGTGCACGAGAAAGGTTAGAGGAACAACCACTAGATGACCTAAGGAACAGCGAGCGCCTCCATAACTCAAAGCGGTCCTTTTTTCAGCGTCTTGGCTGTATGCTCTCGTTGTGAAGCGTTTTTGCCCATTTTCAGCCTCTGGAGACCCTCGCTGGGCTCCCCCTGAGCATTAGACGACTCGTGATGGAAAAGCCCGCCCTGGGGGAAGGGTCAGGACCTCCGGGGATCCCGTATTGAAAAAGTCAAGCCATCGGGTCTACGCCTGCCGACTTCCGCCCCCCCCTTGCCAGACTCCAGCGCGAAGGAAGCGGGGGAGGGGGGGGTGGAGAGGGCAGTGGGGCGGAGAAGGGGATGGGGGAATGGGGAATGGAATCTGGAGGGAGAAAAACGCGGCAGAAACGTAAACTTGTGGAGGTCCCCGCGGACTCCCCGGATCTGGGCCTACAAACCCCCTCCCTGGCGCGCGGAGCGCGCCAGGGGCGGCGCCGGAGGCCTCCGCCAGGGGGCCCCAGCGCGGGTCCAAGAGACCCGCGCGGAGCGCCAAACGTCTAATGTTTTTTATGCCATATACGCAGAAGAGACAGCCAGGACGCCTCACCAACCACGAGGACGACGGTGAGGGCTTTTTCCAAATTCGCCCAGAGGATTCTCATGCGGGGTCCTTCCGTCGGAGTAATTTTTATGCCGTTTTTCTCCTTCTCGAGACTCAGCCGGAGCGCGACTGGCTCCTCGGGCGCCCACCGGGCGGCCAGGAACCCAAACGCCCAGCCAGCAGGGGGGCGACCGCGAGGCGACCGCGAGGCGCCGAGCACGCGGAAAACCGAGGACCCACGCCGCCGACGCGAGGCGCCCACAGGGCGCGCCCACCGGGCGAAGACCAGGAACACCCTCCTCCTCCTCCTCCTCCTCCTCCTCCTCCTCCTATTCCTCCTTATCCCCCTCCTCCTCCTCTCCCCCTCCTCCTCCACCCCCTTCCTCTCCTCCTCCTCCTCCTCCTCCTCCGCCTCCTCCTCCTCCACAAGGCGCGCCCACCAGGCGAAGACCAGGAGCACCCCAGTGATCGACCCGAACAATGTTTTTCGTTTCCGTTCGTTTCGTTTTTTCCTCGCTTTGTCTTACATCCGCCTCTGCTGCAAAACGAAGTCGGAACGAAACCGGCCCACGAAACACCGCTAGGTCGAGCCCTGGAACACCCTGCCGACACAAGGCTGAGACGAAGTCAGGAAAAGGACCAATTCGGGTGAGGATACATCGAAAATCTTCGAGGTCCGGCGGCTCGGGAGGAGGTATCTGGAAGCAATCCCTTACTCTGCTGGAAACAATCCCTTCGTGCAAGCACCGCTGGAGGACGAAGCGTGCGCAAAGAACATTAAACATGCATAGGCAGAACAGAGTCACGCCACGGTGGGGGTGCATGGAGCGGAAGCGATGGAGTAGAAACTACAGGGAGAAGCGGAACGTCCATGGGAGCTGCATGTCGGCAGCCGAGACGGCATCGACTCGTCGGCCAAGAGAGATGCTGCACCGAAGAGTCAGCTGAGGATGAAAAGGGTCATGAGGGGTGGACAAGGGTAGGATTGTCGTTAATCGCAGGCAACGGTGTTCGGTCTTGTAGACAGGGACCAACACACATGCACATGCACATGCACGTGCACGTGCACATGCACATGCACATGCACATGCACATGCACATACAGATGCACATACACATACGCATACGCATACGCATACGCATACACATATATATATATGTATATACATATATATACAGTTATATACATATGCATACACATACGCATACACATACACATACACAAACACCTACACACATATACACCTACACACACCTACACACACCTACACACACCTACACACCTACTCACCTACTCACCGATTCACCTACTCACCTACTCACCTACTCTTACACCTACACCTACATACACATGCAAATACACATGCATATGCACATATACATCCGCCACCGTGCCTCTGGGCACGGAGTGGGCGTGTCCTCAGGTCCTGTGCCCAATCCCCCGAGCCTCAGTCCTCACTCCTGAGAAGTCTTTAAGGGGACCGGAACCCAAATTCACAAATGTCCCGGGACCAGAATCCAAATTGCCGTGGTTCCATGGGCTCGGGCGAGTGTTCTCGCATGACTTCTCGGGACCCCCAGGGACCCCAAGACGGGCCAAGAGGACCCCACGCGGCGTCCCAGGCGGCCCAAGAGCGCCCCGAGACGCCCAAAGATCGCTCCAAGATGCCCAGGATGGCCCCGCGACGGCCGAGGCCCCAAGAGGCCCCCGAGACGCCCCCAAGAGGCTCCAGAAGGCCCCCAAGAGGCCCAAGCGAGGCCCCAAGAGGCCCCCAGACGGCCCCCAAGAGGCGTCCAAACTGCTTCCAAGAGGCCCCCGAGAAGCCTTCAACGAGATCCCAGCGAACATCCCATAGGCTTCATACCCACAAGCCAGGCACGGTGGCGGGATGGGCCAAAGGCCATTCGATGCACATACACATGCACACAACCAGCGGTGGTCTCACAAGAAACATGCGCTGGTCGAAGGCTGCTGCTGCTGATATTTCGCTGACGGTGGATCTTCTCACTGGTGTGGAAAGATACAACAACTCAATTGCTTGCCGGCCGAAATCGGCGCAGGGCGAATTGAGACAATGGCAGCTCAAATCGGTCCCCCCGGACCCCTCCCTGGGTCCAGACGCACCAATTTGGCGACGAGGGCCCCCCCCCGAAGGCCAAAACCTACGGTTGTCTCACCTCGCCCTCCTCTGAACGACAGACCCCGCCCTGCACCTCAGATTCTCCGCGTGGACGTTCTGGTGGGCCACGCGCTTGGCGTGGAGCGCGGCCAGGGCCTGCAGCAGCACCTTGAAGGCCGCCGCGGCGTCCCGCTCGCAGAAGTGGGGGTCGCAGAGTGCCTAGGAGGAGGAGGAGGAGGAGGAGGAGGAGGAGGAGGAGGAGGAGGAGGAGGAGGAGGAGGAGGAGGAGGAGGGGGAGGGGGAGGAGCAGGAGGAGGAGGAGGAGGAGGAGGAGGAGGAGGAGGAGGAGGAGGAGGAGGAAAGATCGGGCGGGCATCTGATCGTGGACGTCACGGGCTGACCGCGACAGGCCCACATCTCCGACGGCATGGCTTTCCGATGCAAGCGTCTCCTCGATCTTCGGCCTCCATGGGGCCCGTTGTCGGGCCCCATGCACTTCAAACGTGAATGAAGGGGAACTGGAACACACAAATAAATACACACAAATAAAAATATCCCCCATAGTTTCCCATATTTTCTGGGTTTTTGTCTTCCCCACCACCTCCCATATTTTTGCATATCTTCCTGGGAGTCGACGATTAATTGTGTCTGTGTGTTTCTTTCCCTCCTGAATGAATCCGAGACGGAGAGCTACCCCTGGAGAAGCGGTCGGGATTTCTGGGGCCGCGGATCCAAAAATGAGCTCCGCAGGTCAGGGGAAACGTCTGGGAGTGAACGGCTCAGAGGTTTTCCAATGGTTTCGTCGGCTCCTAGAAGTTTTCCTGCCCGACGGTTCGTTTCAGCAGCTGCGCCTCGCCGAGATGCGCCCTCGGCTGTCCGGATCGTTCCGCGAACGGCTGCCACAGGACCGAGCTATGAACCGGAAGCCACAAGGGGATAAACTCCCGGCCCTACGGTCCCGTCAAGAGCTTCTGCCCCGCGTGCCGCGGAAGGCGGCCCGGCGGTACGCTGCGCCCTTCGAGCGGACAGCGTGTTGCTCCGATTCGCAGGGCGGGACTTCGCGACGAGCTCGGGGCATTGACGCTTGGGGGAAAGGACGTGCTTAGCGTGTCGCGCCCAGGCGTGGTGGGCCAGAACCGGCGAGGAGAAGCGCTAAGCATACGTTCCGGAGCCACGCAGCGCGGTGGATCCCTCACGACGTACGGACGGCTGAGCTGTGGACCCCGGGCGCTGAAGTGGCCCGAGGATGCGCAAGCAAACGAGCCACGTAGCACAGGGCGTTTAGTGCAGCAGGGGGTCGCGCAATCAACGAAAGCCGTTGGTTGAACGACGTGGCCACTCCGTCTAGCCACTCGTTGTTTAGTAGGCGCCCGAGCCTTCTCGAGCAGGGAAGGCCCCGCGAGGCTCTCGAGCGCCAGGTACACACGGTGCTTGTCCTCGTAGACGTCGTAGACCTTGCACACGTGGGGAGAATCGATGCACAGCATGGCCTGGACCTGGGGGGGGCAGCGGAAATGCGCGAATGGGTCACCCAAGCGTTTCCTGTTACTGTAATACGGCCGAGGGGTGGGGGAGGGGGGGGGGGCTGGGTCTGGGCCGGTGTTTAATCGATCTGCTTTTACCCGTCGCGCAAGTGACCAGTCGACAGAAGCAGCCGCCAAAGGCAGCCGAGATCCGGTCCATGGGTAGGATCGGGTAGGACGGCGCCCCAGACAAGTTTTCGGTGGAATGGGCACGCCCGTTGACCGAAACAAATAACAGCCGCGTGCTCCATCGTTTACTTTGCCAGCGACGATGAGACTGGCGACATCTCACAGCGACGCAGGGGACAGGAACACAACATCAGTAGTTACGAACTTCGAGAAGTTTCCTTGGCTTTGATCCTCTCGACGAAGCTGGCCTTTCGCTGCTCGTACGACACTGGGCTATCATCTCCGTGTCCTGCTCTGGCGGAGGTCCTCTTTGCCGCGCGTCACCAGCACCGCCAGGCAGGACAGGGAGATCAACAACAAAACTGGAGACGGCCGCGGTTTCTTACACACCTCGGGCGGACCAGTACTCGATTCCAACCTTAAACGGAGGGGCCGTCCGATCGATCAACGCTCGGACTCGGGGTTTGGGGGCATGGCCGCGAAGAAAACAAGACAGCACTTCCAGATCAGTCTTGGCGGGTCTGCACAGGGCCTCGAGAGCTTGATCGCTATCTCCTGACTCCAGGCCCCGCAACGTACGCACAAGAGGGACCCTCTTCTACCTTCCCCGCTCTCCTCAAAAAGCTTCGCAAGCCCCTCGCCTACGGCAGCCAAAATCTCATGCTGCATCGTGTCCTATGTGAGAGGTCCGAAGACCTTGCGGGTCCCAGCGAAGCCTGTGAACGGAAGATGGGTGGCTTCGGTGGCCACTCTGAAACAGAAAGCGAGCTGCCATCGAAACTCCCCCCCACCTCCCGTCGCGCCAACCAATCCGTCGCGCACGCTTTCAACGGACCTGCTCATTACTCACCAATGGCGGGCAATACTGAAGCTGCGCGTTTCATCAACGACGTGGAACGGCTCTGAGCATCCTCGACAGAAGCTCAAAAACGTTGGGTCAGGGGCCAGGGGCCGGGCGCATCCGCGCAGCTGTCTCAGCGTGGTGATCCGCCAGAGCATTAGCTCGCGCCGTCCGCCGCTCCCCAGGCTTCAAGAATTCGATCGCGTCGTGGGACCGGTGCGCTTTGACATGGCGAGCCGAGATGCAGCGGTGGCCCTTCAGGCTTCGCCCGAAGTGTAAGACGCCAGCAGCTCGATTGGGCGCTCGTCTCGGCTGACTAATGTTCTGAGCAAGTCTCCGAATGGCTGCCATGCAATCCACTCCCGCCACCGTCGCGCGGTGAGGAACCGGAATCCAGACTTGAATCCGAAGCCTAATCGGATCGGAATCGGCGGCCATCGAGATCGAACATCGAAGCGAGTCGGAGGAGTCGACATGAGCCCTGTTAGGGTAACTACGCCGGTGCGCTCGCGCCCCTGCGAGGGAGACGCCAGAGAAACCGCCAGCGCACGAATTCGGGACGCGCTGGCCAGGGTCCATGCAAAACCTGGGTCATCTGGGTTTCGCAGGATCCTGCAAAATCCTGCAGGATCCTGTAGGGTCCTGCGCGCTAGCCCGGGTCAATAGAACTCTGGCTTTGCAAGATCCTGCAAGATCTGGCGCTCTGGCTGACCCGCGTTTGCACTGACCCCAGTCTCAAGGCTCACGTCGCGTGTCACGGGCGTGTGCTCCGACTTTCCCCAGGGGAGGGCCTGGTGCTGGAACAGCCTCGGGTGCGGTATGCTGGCCTTGCAGATCGACTTCACCACCCGGGCGGGCTGGCCGCCTATCCGCGCCTAGGGGGGGGGGGGGGGCGGGAGGGGATGGAGATCAGTCGGCCGCGGAGACAGCAAGGCCGTCTCTTCACCGTTTCAGAAAAAGTATCCCTAGAACATAGAAGCGGTAAAAGAACGGCGACCAAAAACGGAAACAAAAACGGCTCCAAGATTGAAACCGGAACTGGGCCTGGAGGAAACAAAAACAGCGACGGAACCGTGAATAAAAACAGCGCCGGAACCTTCAAGGAAACGCACGCACACACACACACCCACACACACACACACGCAGGCACGCACGCACGCACGCACGCACGCGCGCGCACGCGCGGGCACACACACGTACATGTACATGTACACGTACACGTACACGTACACGTACACGTACACATACACATACACGTACAGGTACACGTACACGTAAACACATACACCCACACACCCACACCCAAACACACACAAATACATACAAACACACACAAATACATACAAACACAACACACACAAATACATACATACACACAAATACATACAAACACAACACACACGGAAACTGCAAATTACCGGCCCTGTCGCTTCAATTTGCAGATTGGGTGAGGGATGAGGAAAAAGGGATCCAGATCTCCGACGGCAGCACTTTTTCGGTCGGGCATTCTGTTCTCGGTTTCGGCACCTGGTGCCCGTTGTTGGTCCCTGGGGCCACCAACAGAGGATCCAGGGCGCAAAACTTCCACCGGAGAGGGGGTCGGGAACTCTGGGGGCGCGGATGGAACAGATGATATCGTCGGATGTCTGGGGAGGTGGGTGGGAGGACGGGGGGGGGGAAGGGAGCGTGTGAGGGGGCAGAAGCGGGAGAGGCGACTCACTACAGCACGCGTGCCACGCTGAAATCAGAGCTCATTTGCCAACCGAGCTCCGAGCAACGGGATGCAACGTGTTCCGGCGAAGGGCGGCCTGCTGCACGATGGCCCCCTATTGCGGCCGTGGCGGGAAATCCCACCAGCCCTCTGGGCTGAGGTGGCTCAGAGCGGTTCCTATTCCATTCTCCCCCCCTTCTTCCCCTTCGGGGAGGGGTTCGCCTTTACAATTACTCAATATGAATACCACTCTCCCTCTTCCCCTGATGGCGTGCAGGGAGTGGCCGAACCCGCCCCGCGTACTGTTTTTTTACACATAGGATTCCCGGGAGTTGGGTTTTCGCCTGCGCTTTCTGTCAAAATGCTGCTCTCGCTGAGGCGCCGGCCTCATTTCTGTTCCCGAATCGTTCCGAATCGTGCTCCCGCTGCAGCGTGGGCCTCATTTTCGGATCGGTGTTTTGCCTCCGTCGTTCAGGATGGCGTTCTCGCCCCAGCGCGGGCCTCTTTCTCGCGCGCCCATCCGCCCGCCACCACCGCGCCGCCGCACCACCACCACCACCACCACCAGCACCAGCACCAGCACCAGCACCAGCACCAGCACCAGCACTAGCACCAGCACCAGCACCAGCACCAGCACCAGCACCATCACCAGCACCAGCACCAGCACCAGCACCAGCACCAGCACCAGCACCAGCACCAGCACCAGCACCAGCACCAGCACCAGCACCACCACAACCACGCACACACGCACGCACGCACGCACGCGCACCACCACCCACTACGCACGCGCGCGCGGAGCCACAGGTCCGCTACGACACGCGTCCGCGGATAGAGAAAATCAGCGCCATGGTAAGGGACGGGAGGGAGGGGTAGGACGTCAGATATGACGCGAGCGCACCTAGCTTGCCCTCTCCCTCTCCCCGTCTGGACAGTGGGTCTCGCGAGGGGATAGAGCGTCCAAGATGGCCCCAGCGACACGGCCCCAATCATTGGTTACCCTTCCTTGCAAACGCTGGCTTTCTTGGGGGTGGGAAGTGGGCGAGGCTGCTCGGCGCCGCCTCCTGCTTTACTCGCTAGCCTTCAGGATGGCCCCAAGACGACCTGAAAAGCCTTCAAGAGAGCCCCATGACGGCCCTAAGAAGCCCAAGAGGCCCCTAAGCGGCCCTCAGGAGGCCCCAAGGGGCCCCCCACACCCAAGACGCTCCAAGAGGCCAAGAGGCCCCCCGAGAGCTGGCAAGAGGTGTTCCCAAAACGTACTCAAAGGCCTCCAAGACGCCCCCAAGAGACACGCCAAGAGACCCAAGGAAGTATTCAGTGGGCCTCTGGCCCATACGTGCCCCCGCGATCTCCAAGTGTTGCCACGCTCCCTCGTTCAGGGCAGCTCGGCTGGGCATCGTGTCTGGATGGGCTGGTGGGCACATGCACTGAACAAAATGACCAGAATTCGAGAGGCAAACTCACGGGCTGGTGGGGATACGCGAAGCGTAAGCAATATCATT